TTAAGTGCCTCTCTCTTATTAAGAAAGAGGCAGAAATCTAAGATTTCATCAGAAATCTAAGAAATCTTCCAGATGAGAGAGCCCAAAACACCTGGATCAATAAAGGTAAAATAGCATGCTCTTGCATGAAGAAAGAGGATTAGCAAGTTTAAGGTGTCACACCTGAAGATAAACATTCAACAGAAAGGCTGGAAAATAGGACAGAAAAGGTACTTGGAGAATAAATTCAGAAGCACCAAGATCAGCATAATAAAAGTTCCAGAAAGAAAGAACAGAGAAAAGAGAAATTATCAACACACGCTATCAAAACCTTCCAGGACCAAAGGACAATTAATTATTCCCCAGGTTGAAAAGGCCCACACCGAGCACTGAAATCGCAGAATTCCGCGGATTAAAGAGGTCCTTCTCCTGAAAGGAAGAAAGAAATAGGCCATATACAAAGACCAGCAAACAGGATGACATAGCTTTTCTCATCAGCAACACTGGATGGTGGAAGATTCTAAGGCCTTCTAGATAGAAGTTATTTTCTATGTAGATTTTATGTCTAGATAAACAATAATACCAGGCATGGGGATAGAATAAAGACATTTTCAAGACATTTTCTAGATATATGAAGGAATAAATAAATAAAAATGAAGACATACATCTATTGTTCCTTAGCACATGACCCAGGGAGGGTGTGATACTGAAGAACTAAGCCCCCAGATGCTACCAGAAGTCACTAGGGGAGAAATCACGAGGACGTGATAACGGTATTCAGAAATATGGAGCGAATGAGCAGGACGGTGTGGGAAGGGCAAGGGGATTTGTTGTCAATTTAAGCAGTTGTTATGAGTTAAACTCCGAAAATTATGTGCAAGTCCTAATCCCCAAAACCTCCGAGTGTGACCGTATTTGGAGTTAGGGTCCATTGCTGATGTCATTCTATAGGACGAGATGACAATGAAGCAGGGTGGGGTCCTGGTCCAATACGGCTGGTGTCCTCATAAGGGGAGAGAGACACAGACACACGGGGGAAGATGGCCATGTGAGGATGGAGGGTTGGCGTGACACATCTACGAGCCGAGGAATGCCAAAGATTGCCAGCAAACACCAGAAGCTGGAAGAGCTGAGGAAGGATTCCGTTACAGTTTGCAGAGGGAGCTCGGCCCTGCCCACACCTTGATTTTGGTGTTCCAGCCCTGGGAAACCAATGTAGCACTGTAATACACTTGCTTTTTAAAAACGCTGTGCAGGT